GCTGAGTAGAACTTCTTGAAGTTATAGTTTAGAAATGTCTGGAACATGAAAGGGACTAACTCTACCCCAATTTCTTGAGTATCTCCAAAGGTTTTCTTGTTGGAAGGGTGGAATTATCTTGCGTGATTGGAAATAACTGACCTCCTTATGTGTCCTTATATCGCATAGCTTTTGAGTAACTAAGATAAGACTATTAAAGAATATGCCCATCCCTACCATACAGTGAAAGCTAAAGAGAAACGTTGCCATTCAGTTTTGGTTGCACGAATTCTAGAATATTGAATTCTTTTTTGTTGACCATTATAGGAAACAATGCTAAATGCAATGAGGACAAAGAAGCAACGAAGGAGAACATTTGTAGCTCAGGTTTGAAATGAGGGGGTCCTTGGTGCTCTCTGAGCTTAACTTGTTTCTCTAGGTACCATCTAGTTAAAATTACCTCGTTAGGGCAATGAAAACTCTGCAAGAAAACTAGCAAGCTCGGAGTGCACCAAGAACCCCTGAAGAAGACAAAGTAATTCCTCCTTACAGAATAACTGAAATCCAGGTGGAGCTTTGAAACCAAAAAGAGCAACTGAACAAATCTGGAAAAAAAAAAAAAGCTAGCTTATTTGCAAATGTTCAAAATATTGAAGTATTTACAACATGTTGTTGGTTAGGCTCAAGAACAGACATTTCCCTCAGGCTGCTTAACAATGTTTCGTGTCTGGGTTAATTTTTTTTCCCCCTGGGGTTTAAGAATTTCATTTCAAAAAGGAGGTAAGCTGGGACAAAGAAAGGAATGAATTGACAATAAAAAAAATTAATGCCATCTATCTTTATATTGCTCACATTGCATTAACCTCAACTCGTTTGATATCTCCTCGTGTATGTAGTCTTTTTTTTTAAAAAAAAAAAACCTGTCAAATTCAGAATTTAAACTAATCAATGAGTTCTAGAGAAATTCAAGAGACTTCTAGTCCTTTATAATTAGGGTCCCCATAGTAATGGGATTACTTTTTTTTCTTTTTACTACCGGTTCTGTGGGTGTGGCTTGGTGGGAGTGGTGTGGCTTGGTGGGCATGCAGGGGAAGGATACTATTAAATCTCCATTCCCACCCCACTCCTGGGGGAAGGTTACTGCAAAATCCCCTTCCCTCCCCATCCCACTAACCTGCTTTCCAGCTTCATTCTCCTGTGCAAGGTAACAAAAGAAGACCAAGCCGATCAGCTGGGACTCAGGAAGCAGAGAATAGATGGGCGCGGGGCCAGTCAGAGGTGGTATTTGCTGGTTCTCCAAAAAGCTCAAAATTTCTGCTAACAGTTCTAACAGTAAAGAGACAAGGAGAACAACTGGCTTTTGAGAAGTATGCCATGGCTCACCTTACCGGAATGCAAGCAGGGAATTGCATTAACAGTGATTAGTAGATTAGCACCTACTTTGGGTAATGAAATGTCTGCATGAAAACAACCAAGGACATCTCATTTCAACCCCGAGCTACACATATTGTCGTTTATTGAATCTTGTTAAAGCTTTGAAGAATCTTATGAGGAGACAAAACAAAACAAAAACAAAATTAAAGAAATTAAAGTTCTAAGATATTATTTGAAGGAACTAAATAATAAGAATGGTAAAAGTAATAAGAAGGAATATAAAGTTTGCTTAGCTGATCAAGGTTAAAATAGATATGTTATCTCCAGTAACCCTTAATGAACTTTTGCTGATCATAACCGAAATGACCACATATTAAAGATTTGTTTATAAATATGAAATGGAATATGGGATAGAGTTCATTTATTTTACGAAATTGTATTAAAAATTGTTGGTAGTTGTGGTGAAGGGGCTTAATCATTTATTTATATATTTATTTTATTTTTCTCTTTCTTTTAAATGTTCTTTTGACTTTTTTTTAGCACAGTAGAAGATAATAACATAGAAGATAATAACAAGTCTAGCATATACTAGCCAGTAGTATATACTGTAATATATATTTTTTAATTTATTTTTATTTTATTTTTATTTATTTATTTATTTATTTATTTTTGTCAATTGCTTACAAGATAATAGGTATAAGTAAAAACATAGTTATGAATACATGGATACATATAAGAAAAATAAAAAAAATAAAAGAAACAATAGGACAGGGACGGTAGGCACATTGGTGCGCTTATGCACACCCCCTATAGACCTCTTAGGAAAGGGGTGAGGTCAATAGTAGACAGTCTAAGGTTAAAGTTTTTGGGGTTTGGGGAAGAAACCACAGAGTCAGGTAGAGTATTCCAGACATTGACCACTCTGTTGCTGAAGTCGTATTTCCTGCAATCAAGTTTGGTTCGATTAACCTTGAGTTTGTATCTATTGTTTGCTCTAGTGTTGTTATGATTGAAGCTGAAGTATTCATTGACAGGTAGGACCTTGCAATGTATGATTTTATATACTATACTTAGATTGGACTGAAGGCGGCGTAGTTCTAGATTTTCTAGGTCTAGAATTTCTAGTCTGGTGGCATAAGGTATTCTGCAATGAGTAGAGGAGTGTAGAACTCTTCTTGTGAAATATTTCTGGACTTTCTCAACTCTGTTAATATCAGATACGTAATGTGGGTTCCAGACTGATGAGCTGTATTCGAGTATTGGTCTAGCAAATGTTTTGTATGCTCTAGTTATTAGTGTAATATATACTAGCCATTCCTACAAGTACGGACCTATCTAATCAGCAAAAGCAAATTTCATTTTTTTCCATCACAAGCACAAAATCCATAAGAGTTTCCCAACAAAAACAAAATTAGATATGTTCTTTTAATGGAATAAAGAAATCATTTTAACCATGCCTGCTTTTTTCCTTGCCGTGGGAAGTAATATGTATTTCTGTTTGCACTTATGAATCTTTATAGACTATCATCATTTATATTAACAAAATTTGCTCTAGTCTTTCAGATTCTTTACCCTTAAAGGGGAAAATACTTTGTTCTTTCAATGTACATATTTATATTAAGTGTACTTGTGTTTTTAAACAGTATGTATGTATGTTTGCAACCCAGGCTGATATATGCAATTAGTGTATTTGTGGCAAATCTTAAAGGGAAGTTTCTAATGCAAAAATATTTATACTCAAAACTTGGGCAACAATAGCTATTGGGATTGCTCTGTTAGACTTGAAGCAATCCTTCAGTTATGACACTTCCTCCCATTCTTATTTCTCAGGCAGCTTGGTCTCTTAAATAAATTTTGAAATATTGTGATCTTTAACATGTTACTTTCATTTCATGCATCATCCTTACTGCAATCATGCAGAAAGCTGATTTTAAACATTGCCCTTAGATGCAATTTTTAGAGAATAAAATAATTCAATAGTTGGATTCCATAACCTTGCCAACTACAGCTTTTCAATGGGATTTTATTTTATTTCATGCATCCCTGGCTTATGAAAAGCTATGCCGGCAAACATATCTCAGGGAATGTATCCGTAACTGACTACAGATAGATAAAACAGGAACAAAAATGTAGCCAGGAATAAACTAGGACATTAGGGAAAACATTCTCTTCTTTACAGTCCTGTATTATGTGTCCAATATATAGGTGTGCCTTTAAAAAGATCTGGGATCATTTAAACTTGCAGCCTTCTTATTTATAATCTGGAGCCAAACCAATCTGAAACACATATTCCATGCCACAATATTAATCAGGTATGCTTGCTGTTCTCTGAGCTTGGTTATTTCCTTGAAGATATTTCATTACCCAAACTAGACTAGCACGGGTGTTGTTACCTAGTTTGGTTAATGAAACATCCGCAAGAAAACAATCCAGCTCAGAGAGCACCAAGGACCCTTCATTTCAACCCCAAGCTACAAATATTCTCCAAGACAGGAAACAATGATTAGAAACTAACCAAGGAGAGAAGCTTCCTAGAACTAAGGAGAAATTTCCTAACAGTGAGAGTAATCAAACAATGGAACAGATTACCTCAGAAGTTGTGGGTACTCCATCACTGAACGCTTTATTGGCATAGGATCTCTTGCTCGACCAGGGGGGTTGGACTAGAAGACCTCCAAGGTCCCTTCCAACTCTATTTTCTATGTCTTATGTTCCTTTATTGGTACAATATTAATCAAACAGCTTGGTTTTCTAAAGGGAGAAATGGTTGGGGTCATGGTTTAAGCAAACACAAGTAGTTCTGACCACAGACTCTGTCCAGATAGGCAAAGGATGTGCTTAACTGGAAGTTTTAAGAAAAGATTGCCCAGTCATTTGTCTGAAATGGTATAGGATTTCCTGCCTGAACAAGGGGTTGGACTAGAAGACCTCCAAGGTCTATTCTATTCTATTCTATTCTATTCTATTCTATTCTATTCTATTC